TCCGCCTCCTGGGTTTACGCCATTCTCCTGCCTCAGCCTCCTGAGTAGCTGGGACTACAGGCGCCCGCCACCTCACCCGGCTAGTTTTTTTGTATATTTTAGTAGAGACAGGGTTTCACTGTGTTAGCCAGGATGGTCTCAATTTCCTGACCTCGTGATCCACCCGTCTCGGCCTCCCAAAGTGCTGGGATTACAGGCTTGAGCCACCACGCCCAGCCAAGCTGTGTTTTTAAAAGACCATTAGTCCATTCTATCTTTCCTGAAGATTGAGGACAGTAAGGCGTATGAAGTTTTCACTGAATACAAAGAGCCTGAGAAACTGCTTGGGTGATTTGACTAGTAAAGACCCATCCGTTATCAGACTGTATAGAGGTGGGAAGGCCAAACCAAGGAATTATGTCTGACAAAAGGGAAGAAATGACCGCGGTGGCCTTCTCAGACCCTGTGGGAAAGGCCTCTACCCATCCAGTGAAAATGTCTACCCAGACCAAGAGGTATTTTAGTTTCCTGACTTGGGACATGTGAGTAAAGTCAATTTGCCAGTCCTGGGCAGGGGCAAATCCCTGAGCTTGATGTGTAGGGAAAGGAGGGGTCCTGAACAATCCCTGAGGAGTGGTAGAATAGCAGATGGAACACTGAGAAGTGATTTCCTTGAGGATAGATTTCCATGATGGAAAGGAAATGAGAGGTTCTAAGAGGCGGACTAACAGCGTGTAACCTACATGGAAGAGGTTATGAAATGATGACAGAATAGAATGGGCCTGTGAGGCTGGAAGGAGATATTTTCCTTGGTCCAAGAACCATTTGCCTTGTGTGGGAAGAGATTGATAAGTGGAAGTTTTGGTGGGGGAGTAGGTGGGAGTGACCAGATGAGAAGGAGAAAAACTGGCCGTGAGGGACAGAAGTTAGAAAGCTAAGCTGCGTCTTTAGCTACCTTATCAGCATAAGCATTGCCCTGAGCAATGGGATCTGATGCCTTTTGATGGCCCTTGCAGTGAATGACTTCAGCATCCTTTGGAAGTAAAGCAGCCTTGAGAAGGGTTTTTATTAAAGAGGCATTAATAATGGAGGACCGTCAAGTAGTGAGGAAACCTCTTTCAGCCCATATAACAGCATGGTGGTGCAGGATATGGAAGGCATATTTGGAGTCAGTATAAATATTGACGTGTAGTCCCTTTGCAAGAGTGAGGGCATGAGTTAAGGCAATGAGTTCGGCTTGTTGAGCGGTAGTGCAGTGGGACAGAGTGGTAGCCTCAATGATAGATGTGGAAGATACTATAGCATAGCCTGCCTTTGCTGGTGAGTGGCGATTAGGCCTGGTGAAACTGCCATCAATAAACCAAGTGTGATCAGGGTGAGGAACAGGAAAGAAGGAAATATGGGGAAATGGAGTGAATGTCTGGTGGATCAGAGAGATACAGTCATGGAGATCAGGTGTGGTATCTGGAATAATGTGGGGGCTAGCGTAAAACAATAAGGTCAAGTTGTTTGGACAGAAAGGCTACAGGGCACAGCCCCAGCTCTTGTGAAAGAATTTTGACTGCACAGCCC